TAAAACATTTTTAAAGATATCTTAGCAACTACTAGGCTGATTATGATAATTTAACTATCATTAGATTTGTTTTAATAAGCTCTACAACTTTACTTATAGACTCAAAGATGGTTAACTTAGTACAAAAAAAACTTTTAGATGTAGAACAATTATCATTGATTGGTTAAAGATCATGTGATATTGTTACGATTTTCTTAGAAAATCGTGATCTAGTACTGTACAGGTAGTAATAAGAATGTGCTTAAGCCTTAATTCACACAAGTTGTAATAGGGCTAAGTAGATATTAAGGCTTGGGTTGTTAAAAGACATAATATTTAGTAATTTGTCATTTTTGTTTATTTTTATATCTAAGATTCTTACTTGTTTGTTAAGGCATAATGATTAAAGTAGGTCAAAGCTTAGAGAAAAGTTAGAAGAGAGTAAGGCAGAGTGACTAGAATAATAAAAAGCTTAGCTCCTGCCTTATAAATGTCACTGCTCTCAATAATTGCCCAGATGTAATATTAGCAGGCTTATCTCTTAAGTCAGCTATAATAGAATATAGAGTTACATGAGAAGAAATTTGCAGTAGATCATCTTTAATATTAATTCTACGTCATGTTAGTTGAACCTTTTCTGAACTTCTTTAACGTCTTCTTTTCTATTTACTTTAGGCAATTCTATTTGACTTGTATTACTGGCTACAACTAAGTCATCTTTCTTTTGATTTTGGACAACTGAGTCTTGCAACCTTGGTCTTTGTGAGTCTCATTAACATCTGCCATTTCAACATTAGGGTCTTTACTTTTCTCAGTTGTTGTTATAAGTTTATTGTCACTTGGTTATATTTAGTTATTTCCTTATTTTACTATAAAAACTCTTCACGATCATATTATACATTTTTCTGTTACTTGTTAAATACCCTATTACCTTATTATCTTATAAGTATCGACTTTTAATATCAGTTGTACTGATTAACTATCAATATTACTAATTTATTTAATTATGATTACATAATTTGATTTATTTACCTGATTGATTACCGGTAGATATAATTAAGTGCCCAATTACAGATTAATTACATAACCTCATGTGCTTGAGTTATTACTATTATCATATTTATTTATTAGTAAAATACCTTGAGTTCTATACAAAGAACATATAAGTTAACTATTGGAGCTAAACTCTGCCAATAGTTCTATACGCTCTTCCAAAACAATAGTAACAATAGTCAAATTAATATTACGAGATAGAGTTAATTATGTAATTAATTTAGAGTTAAATAGCAAATAAACTTTTGCTTTGAGTAGACACCAGAAATTCGATAAACTCATATACTTTCACGTTGAAATATTAATAAATGTCAAACAACAGAAACCTGTCTCTTCTATCAATTCTTATATCGAATGCTTGTGTTAAATAATTATATCAGAAGTAAAACTGAATAATCAATTGTTATAGGTAATATATGAATCTATCATCTAATGCTTTTGGTTGGATTCTTAAAAATAAAGTATGACTGTTAATAAATCCATTAAAATCTGCAACAAAATGGTTCCAACTAAAACTTATAGGATTTTTGAAAATCTACTGTTTGCTCATCTTTGTAAAACATCAATTGTTTCTAAATATTGTTAATATTTTATTATAGATTCACAAACTTTATGGAACAATCTAGATTTTACACTTCATCAGTCATCTAGTATAGGTACTGACCAAGTTGTTAATGCATATAAACCAGACTTAGTAACAAAACTTAAGGCCCGTAGAGCAGCTTTATACAAAACATTCAAATTAACATTCAACACGTCAATCGCTAAAACCGTATTGGTTTTTATTTATTTGCACAATTGGTTACAATTAAAGCCCATTAATCTTTTTCGTAAACAAAACAATACTAATACACCATCCTCAACTTGAATTGAATTTGTCATTGCATATTATAAGCATTCAGTCTAGGAGATAAAATAATATAAAGCATTAAACTTAGAAAACTTGGTTTGAACGGCTGTCAAAGTATTGACAAAGTAGTGATATTTCCAAATATTATACGCTTAAATTTCAGGAATGACAATACATTTACTGGTGTTATGACCAGGAAAGAGGCTTTGTATCAACCAGGCAATTTAGCTTAGAGTCATAAGTAGAGATGGGAAAAATGCGCATTTTTCAGAAAGCTATGCACTTTTTGCTGGACAAAATTCAATCTAATTTCAAATTGTTATTCAATTATTTAAATATGTTACAAAGAATAATATAATTGATTTTTAGACTCAAAACATAATAAGAATCTAGCACAAAAGTTATTTTTTAGTTCTAGCCCGCATTATGTTGATCATGGGCCAAAATTATCTTAATGTCAGCTGAGTTAATGGTTAACATGGTTAAATGGTTATAAAATTTTGATAAATATTACGTAAATGAAATAAAATTATATGTATAGATGTGTATTAGTGCACACATATGAAAGTACATTGACTCATCTATAATATTACTTTAGTATCGAAGCTAACAAATTTTTGTATATAAAACATTGATGAGAAAAGTGCCCATCAGC